GAGACGGAGTAGGCGTGGCATTTGAACATGGCAGAAGGTGGGCTACTCGTGGAATATTCCAATTTGAGACAACTGTAATTTTGTTCTGGGATGGACAAAGACATGATTACAGCTGTCCCTAAATGAAAATATTTCACGAAAACCTCGCGGCCGCCCCGTTCAATTAAAGTACGCAGCCAGGCCTACTGCATCTTGAGGATTTTGAGTGTACATTAGGCACGACAGAAATCCGAAACGGGTTGCCCTCCAAAAATGAATTCTTTCAGCGACATCCCTTGCGTGATCATAGCCAAGATTTCTAGAACGAATCAAACAAGGTGCTTAGGAATGAACAGAATGGAGAAATGGCATTTCTCAGATCTTATCTCAAGCTAAGTACCCCTAATCGTTCTTAGCCATCTAAAACCCACCTGAGGAAGATCCATAGTTCAAATGGGCCAAATGGTAAACGGCCACAATGATTCGCATAGTCGGTCCAGCTCGGATGGAACTCCGCTCCAGAAAGCTTGTTGGGATGTAGCGCGCATCCTACCCCCACTCAGAATCGTAGTGACTTCTTGAATGCAAAATGGCTCATACTGGCTTGCAAGGGCCAGCGGATCTACACCTCAGTAATCTTTTCCCTCTTGGACAAGTCTGCTATCCATTTAGCGATCCCGAAAGTGGAACTCTTGGCCCAAATAAGGGCCAATACGGGCCGGGCAAGGGGAGGGTAAGCGGGTCACATGCCATCGCACGACTTCCGCCCCATCACGGAGGCAAGCTGTAGAACGAGGAACGAGAAGAACTCACCGCCTGACTGCACCCGAGCTGTCTGTCCTTAATCGTAAGCTCAATTTGGCAATTGAAATAAAGACCAGCTTTATCGGCAAATTTGAACACCTGGAAGAAGATTATGTTTATTTATTTATTTACTTATTTATTCCATTATTCAATCACTTGCTCCATTATTTCCGCGCCAAATAGGCGCTAGAATCAAGACAAGAGGCTGAAGAAAAGCTGTCAAAATCCTACCTGTGCAGGTTTCCCAGCTGTTAGATCGTCTATGTAGTCAAGGTTTTGTAAGATAACGCCGTCCACGGAGCATCTGCAGAGAACACCTTAACCTTTCAGGTTCTCCTTTTCACGCTAGGACCTACCCATTCACGTCGAGTACGGTAACTGGAGGTCCACCCTGACCGTCGTATACAGTACATGAATGGACCCGCATGCAGTACACATCGGTCAATTCCGAGACGCATGTCCATTTGTGATAGACCGTTTCGCCAACTTTGCCGTATTTCAGGGGAATGCCATTGGGACCATCGGAGAGGATGTCGTATCTATAAAAGCCCTTCTCACTGGGGAAGACTAAGAGATTTCAACTGATTTTCATAAAACAATAACATAAATTAAGAGAAAAAAGATTATATTAACAGCATAAGCCAGTGTTCATAATGGTAATATGAAATAATTTCCCAGCCAGCAAGATCGAATTTTTAGCAGATCTCGAGAAACAGACCACACTTTGCAAATTTTTGTTCGAGCCTGACTACCAGTTCGAAAGTTTTGGCAGTGAGGCTCGAACAAATGTTTCAAAAGTTTTGCCTCGGCTAGGGAAAGGGGGTCGGGGACACATAAAAAGGGCTTCCGGTTGAGGTATGGGACTGAGGGGCGCTGTTCGGCGACGGAGGGAGCATTTTGCACTTTCACTGCTTCACTAGTTCCGGTTTACAAGTCTCACTCTGGTGAAACCTGTGAACTCTTGTGAAGCTGGAGCAAGCTCGTCGAGCCACCATGGTGAAACCTGTCAACTCTTGTAAGCTCATGAAATGGCTCTCTAGATGGGTCGACACGTCGATGGGAAGTAGCAAAAGTGCAAAATGCCCCCCCCCCCTCCTCTGTCGCCGAACTGCGCCGGAATGAAGTTTGATAGGTGGATTTTTGCCATAGCCTAGGAAGGAAGAAGCCGAAGGTGAGTGAACAATCTCTTCGAGCAGGGAAAGAGCTTCGCGCTACCCTTGTCGTCTCAAGAACATCTAAAAGCTTTCCTTCCCCACCCAAGCCCCTTCGCCGATTATGAGAGGATAAATTGCCAGTTTTTCCTACAATCTGCACTTTTGAAGGTAAAAACGTATCCAAACACCTCTGAAAAAATCAGTTATCTCTAGTGAAAGGCGCGTTCCCGACGATTCTTGATTGATGACTTTTCAAGTAATTCCGTCCTCCAGTTCACGTCGATGATCATTCGGGCGTTGTTCCACTCAGCGAAGGAAGGGTATTTGTCTAGTTCTGCTTACTAGTTTTTTTTTCACTACTTCGTTATGACTTATACGTCTCACCTTGGTGAAACCTGAAGGCTATTGTCGACTGTAAACGAACCCTTGCTTCTGCATAGATTTACAGGAGTTCACCAGTCTCCATAAATGCATAATGGTCGATGAGAAGTTGCAATATGCCCCCATTAAGCCGAACTACGCCAATGTTCCACTGAAAGACCCATTTTGCTCAAGTTTCTGTAGCCTTTCAGTAACCTCTGCGACCTATTCTAAAGGGCGGAGGGGGAGGGGGGGGCTGGAATAAAGGTGAAGTGTCGCCGTTAAACGAGCCCATCATCCTGGGCCCAGATCCCAGACCAGGATCCTAATACGCCAACCATGCTTTTGTACCCCCAGACAGGGCATTCGCTACCACATTCGCCTAGTCGGATCAGAGCCTGGTTTACAACCTGACCCCTAAACTCATTATATGGGAGAAATTGCTCCAAAAAGAGATAGAGGAAAAGAGTTCACAATTTCATGCTTCTATCCCTTATCCCCGGGAACCGCTCCCATAGAAAGCCATTTACCACTTTGATATGGGCAGGGCACTCGTCCTCGGAGAATGCCCAGCGGGAGGTCGCGTTACGCAGCCACTGAGTGGTCTGGCTTGCTGAGGAGGCTTTGCACTAATGTGCGTCAGGATCAGGAGGAAATGGTGGGAGACCTATGGGAATGACGAAGTACTTGCAAGATTTTTCAAAAGATTCAAGGATTCTCGAATCTTGAAGGAGTTCCCGATGTACTAAATTACCCTGGCAAGGAGTCTTCCTCCCTGGTTACCTCTACAAAAGAGAGGTAAATGGAAGGAGATTAGGTGAAGTTGCCTTCTCATTGTTGGATGACCGCCCTGGTATCTGGGAAAGTGCCGGAATTAAAAGTCTTGTTTTTGGGTACAAAAGACTTAAAGGACACTTCCGCGAAAAAATAGAGGCCATGACCTCGAATTTCAAATGTGTTCGGCGATCGGAAGGCGATTTTGAGGCTGCGTTACTTCAAATGTGACAACAACGAGCAAGACTCGCTAGAAGCTGGTTAATTAGGCCCACGATGGAACCCCTTAGATGGGCGCCATAGATGGCCGGCTCGACCAGGAGCAGTGCTGTAACTAGCCAAGTAAACCACAATGTTATCTTTCTCTATAACATTCCGGACTGCTTTTACTGCTGCTTTTCTCCGCTAATCAGATACTTAGCACTTTTTTGTGCCTATTTGAGTTCCGTTTCCCGCAATTTGCGGTCGCGAACTGTGCCTTTAAGACACGTTTAAGCGCGCTGGGCCAGAAAAAATTGTCTGGAACATCTCGCACCCCCCCGTGTTTTGGAAAACGCTCGCATTTTGAAAATTTTTCTCCCACGGAACGGTGCACCCTGCCCTACGACTAAAGTGGCTCACTTGCACCATTTCGAACCTTCACAGGGGTTTACAGGTCTCACCAAAGAGACATCCTAATTAAACATGAATTAACAAAACGAGGTGGTGAAAGTGTAAAATGCCCCTCCAAGCCGAACAGCTTCAAAATTTTGACAAAAACCCGACTTTAATATTGAATGATCCCTTGAATAGAGCCTTGAACAATGGCTAGAATCCGCTTTACTTATGCTTTAGCTTTACCCTGAGCGCCAGCTAGTCTAGTAAACATAATTCAATGGTTTTTGAAAGTGTCATACAAGCCTACAATTACCTGCAAACCGGCAACTGTGTTTGGCCTTCGACGACTTGAGTTGTGAGCGCTCTGAAACGTATTCATGTGACAATTCCTTACTTTACAATAGAACTACCTACAGATGCTTGAATCCCATTGATGTTGAGCATTTGTCCTTGGGAGGCTTTCTAATGGGTAAAGTGATTGGTAGGGGGTTAGATTGTTGCCCGGTAATGCCCAATTACGTTAAGGGTAGACATTTTTTGCGTGGGGTAGGGGGGGACACATTGATGTGCGCATCACATCAGCGAAAATACGTTAGCTATGAGAAGCGGAAACTGGTTTTCGAACCTAACGGATCGCATTCGACAACGATGGCGCTTCAACCTCGACGCATAACATTTCGGGCGCTCGGCTAGCCATTCCGATTATTTGCACTTACTTCTGTATTTGGTACCAGTAACGTCCTTGGTAGGGCTAGACCCAGCGCCAAACGGAAATGACATTGAAATGTTGCGCAATATGTTCAAGGATTTGCCGAGTTTTTTTCTAGTGCACTTGGTAGGGGCAAGGCTAAGCGGTTTGAAATTGACAAATCCAGTCCCGTTATTTGAACTAGCTGCGAGTAAAGATGGGCGAGGGCAAATCCTCAATTCGAGGTGATCTCACTGACGCGATGTCGAGTTGTTGCTGAACCTTCTTCGTCCCCTCCACATAGAAACAACTGAGACGATATGCTCGATCAACTTTGGTGATGAAAATCTGAAAAAAATCATCACCATAAATAAACTTGGGCCAGACAACTAGTTTTAGTGAAACGAACCGGATGGAACGAAACAATCACAGTGGAGATAATAACTACACCGTTCACCTGAAAAACGAATGAATTTTGATTTTCAGGTTCACTCGAGTCCAATATGGGTCCGCAGTTCAATCAGAGCACGTCGTACGTTGGATATACCTGACCAAGGGGGTCGTATTTGTAAGAAGGCGGGAGTCATGGCGCTGTTTATCAACGGGGAGGGGCATTTTGTATTATAATTGCTTCCCTGGTTCCGGTTTACAAATCTCACTCTGGTAAAACTTGTGAACGCTTGTGAAGCTGGAGCAAGATCGTCTAGCCACCATCCTAAGCAAGTCAACTCGAAAAAAGGGTACCTAGATGGGTTGGCAAATCTATGAAAAGCAGGATGCCCCCCCCCCCCGTCGATTAACAGCGCCGGGAGTCACATTTGCCTTTCAATGAAAATTCTTCCGGTTGTTGATTTTTCTCGGTTTTTCCCGTCTCACGTGAGCTATGCCCCCCCCCCCGCCCTTCCTTCGACATCATTTCTTTTGTGCAAACCACGGAAATGGGGAAGTATTGCTGAATAATAAGGGATAAATTGGGAAAATGAGAATTTTGGTGAAGATTAGTAGTAGGGTGTGAACATAAGAACAGGAGGGAGGGGTCGCACTCAGAAGAAGAGAATTTTGTTGGCGAGCGTACTTTTGCGAAATTTTTCCCAACGTCAGGAGGTTCATGTCAGTTACACGAACTTATTTAGGATAAGTTAGCTGTACGAAAATGTTGTTGCGTGCGTCGGCGAGGAGCTCTGGAGCAAGGTGCGTCCTGCCATTGGAGAAAATTTTTGCTAAGTACACCCTCCCCCAAAAATTCTTTCTTGAAACGATCTCTGCTCCATGACCCATCCCACAGACAACAGTACCATCTTTCTGACATCACGTTTTCCCATTTTATTGAAACTTTTCCCGGTTTTCCCTCAAAAAAGTCAATCAGCGATGGAAGCAAGCATTAATCATCAGTTGGATTTGGTAGAGTCGACACCCTAGAAAAGTTGCGTGAGACGGACCCCCCTCCCCTGGTTCTCCTTACTGATAACAGAGGTGTATAGCATATCCGGAACGAAAAAACCTTCCAGGAAAATACGTCCCTCGTCCCCAATCTACCTACCACTTTTTTAGTTTCCCCAACTTCCCTACCAACTTCTCCAAGGAACTTCCCTCACTTTCACTTACTCTTCGCCCGCAAAATTTCGCTGCGTGAGTGGAAAGAGGCAGGGCGCAACGTTAGCTTCATTTGTAACAGGAAAAAGCTCACGAATAACAAGAATAAAAGCTTCAAAGAATAAAACTTTCAAAGCGTCGTGAAACAAAAAAATCAAACTACCAAAGACTTCCCAAAACCAAATACGACTTCCTCTGTTTGGGAATCCCAACGATGATATGCCCTGATTTCTCAGCTGCTAGCCACCTGATTCCAGTTTATCAGAATCTTTTTTCAGATTTTCACGATCAAGAAATGACGTCGTGGAGATAGGAAATCACGCACAGGCCCTTCTGTCCTTCCTCATCGAATCGATCGCCGAATCGAGCCGCGGAGGGGGGGGGGGGGCATATAGTACGTGAAACAGGAAAATCACCAAAAGTCAACCGCCACTCCCACAACGCCAAAACGTAAATACGACCCCCTCCCTCCCAAAAATGACCAGGTACGACCCCCCCCCCCTTTACAACGTCATGAAGCGAGAAAAATCAACTATCAAAATCAATTTTTCCCAACCCAAATACGACCCCCTCTCCTGGCGGCCAAATACGACCCCCCCTATGAGGATTCCCCAACAACCGACGCGTGCCCTGGGAGACGGTCATATAGTACATATAGCACACTTGAAACAAGAAAGGTCAACGACATAGCATTCAAACATTCCTCTTGGTGGCAAATATCCCCTTCGAACGAAGTCCTTTTGCTCTGAGAGGTTGGTTTACCTTGTCTAAATTCCGCTCCCCCCCCACCTCGCCCAGACTTGGAGAAAAAAGCTCACTTTGACCTGTATTTCATTCTATTTCATATTATTTTCATGCGCCTACCATATTGTTCAACAGAATTTCGTAGCTTTTACGACACCGGGAGTCACTGGGTTATGGGTTGTACATGGCCCGCTTCCCAAAAGCATACATGAGACTTGTGTTCTTCAGAAAATAGCGAAGCCTCAGAGCTTGTAGAAGGAGCAACACTTAGCTCTCAATATAGAACATGGCGCAGTTGGCGACGGGGAAGGGCGGTGATTCACCTCTGTTCGTCCTATTCGGGTGGTCGACCCCCCCCATCTAGAAGCCTCTTGTGAGTAAGAGTTTTACAGTGATGGCTTGACGAGCTTGCTCCACAAGAGTTCACAGGTTTCACCAGAAAGAGACTTGTAAATCGAAACTAATGAAGCAAAGTGCAAAATTCTCACCACCCCCACCCCTTCTCCCCCCCCCTCCGTCGCCAAAGTGCGCCATTGAACATTTTCACATTGTCAGCCGACCCCATAGGTGTTGTACCCTCACTCCTTTTCTGGTCCACCGAAACAAGCATTATAAACCCATTTATAGAAGGGTTAACAATAGGAAAACTGTTGTGTACTGCTGAGCTTTCGCCTCATATAGCCGATTAGATTTTAAGCGAAAAAAAAGAACTCCGTGTGCGGTTGCCGTTTGGAGGAGGGATTATGCGGAAGGTGCGATCCCCTGTGCTCTCTCTCATTCTACCTAAAATCTGAATTTCTCATTTTTTGCTAAACTCCTACCGCATTTTTCCAGCGTTTTTCTCAAAATGGAAGCGGTCAGGAAGAAGTGAGAAGCGGTTGTTAAGTGCACTCGAAATAGGACATCTGAGGAAAACTAGCCCAGCTGAAAAACCATTCCTTATCACAAGCAAATACGACCCCCCCCCTCTCTGGAGCGACCAAACATGCCCCCTCCCTTCGCTGAGAATCCCTAACGAACGACGTGCCCTGTTTGTAAGCCTCTTTCACTTTCGACGTATGAGTGTTCGGGTTACAAGCGAGTGTTATTGAGGTATTCCTTTATTATGCAACTTCTGTGACCATTATATTATGACTGATAGGCTAGAGCCCTTGCTGGCCTAAGAGATCGTAGACAAGGCGCTGTCTTATGTGGGTTATGGGTTACATCGCAGAGTCGCAAAGCGCTGTATTAGCCAAAGCTCATTGGTTTGTAATTATTCCGCTCAATGTCCCACGTGTTCATGGTTGCCATTTATTGAATGGCATTAAAAAGAGTTTTATTGATTCCTTCTCTCCAGGCATGAAACCCGGCCAGGGGGGGGGCAATGAAAGGACTGCTTGTTAAGAGCAAGGAGTGCTGTAATGGGGATGAGGATCTTCGCCTCGGCTCAGAAAGGAAGGAAGTCCGATGTGGGTGCCAATTTCTGTGGGCAGGAAGAGTGTTTCGTATAACCCCTCCCTTTCGAGCAAATTCCGATGGAGTCCTTTGATTGACCCTCCTTGGCCGAGTTGCCCCTAGCTAGGGGACTACTATTACTTCACAGTTCCCAAGATTTCCCTGCCTCCACTTGATGGGTCATCAGGAGAACGGGAAGTAGCGAGAGTGCACTGTGCCCTTCCCACCCCACAGCCGATCTGTGCCAAGTCTTTCTGAATCGCTCAAAATGTCGTTAAAACCCTTGAAAAAATTTTCAAAAATGGTAGCTTAAGGGAAAAGGAGGAAGGGAGGGGAAGTAGCGAGTGAAAGAGAACTCCGTGAAACACTGACCTCCCTCTGTCGACGAACACCGCAGCCGTCATGTTTTACAGTAAACCGATGATCTTGCTTGTTATCGCCCATCATCACGCAGTCGCCATCAGCAACAAATCCCTGAAAATGAGGATTTCAAGGAGGATACTGTAACGCGGCGAAAGTAATGAAATTCGGAGTGGCCGAAAAATCACTGGATTAGAAATTCAAGGTGAAATATGATTGGGGGAAGGTGAAAACTAGGAAAAACTTCGTTATCTTTTTCTCTATCGCGATGAAAACTCAGGGATAGATTCAGAAGACCATTGAGAGTCGCCTGAAAGATGTGCTCCAGGAGTTAATTACTGTTGGCTATCGCAACTTTAATGCGTTTGTGGTCAGACAAAGAAGAGGGAAAAAAAGCTGGTGAGAAAAAGCTGCCGCGAACGCTCAAGTGCAATACGTTTAGCCGAAACTCTTCAACTAGCCACCATCGTAATTGGATGTGTCATTGAGGTGGTGGTGGTGGTATTTCTTTTCTTCCGAGTGAGAAGAATGACCGTTGCCAGAAGCTGACACTGAAAAGCTTGGCTGTAATTGTTC